CTATTGAAAAAGAAATTTAGGCAGCATAGAGAAGAGGTAGGGACAACCTTTCCCAAAGAAACTGGGGGTGCAATGCAAAGTGTCAGAAAGAAGGGGTAAAGATGAGAGATAGCTAAGTATTTAAGCAGCAAAAGACAAAGATGAACAAACTGAGGGTAAAAGAGAGTCGAAGTAACAGAAGAAGATCCCCAAGATGGAACTTCTGAAGAGCTTCAAAGCATATGTGCTATAAACAAATAGGACAAATTCCAACCATATACCACAGAGGAGGGGGGTCTCATTTTCAGGGAAGGTATGGACAACTGAGGGTCAACACAAATGTGAGACAGAATGTAATCTGCAATAATCAGTTGAAGGAGAAAGATGGAGGAGAAATTCTAGTGTTAGGGTTCATGCAAGAAACTTACCCAAGAAGCAGCAGAAACAACAAGAATAAGAGATAATCATCATCATCATAATCATAAAATTATACTCACATTCCACAACTCACTGTGGCTCTTAGTTTACTTGCAATACTGATAGAATGATCTAACAACTGACTAGTTGAAAACAAGACAGCCAAAACAGTTAAGAATTTGCTTTTAAATTGAAAGAGTCAGTCAAAAGTCAATTGGTCAGAAAACTTAGTAAAAAGTTTCAAGATTGCCTCTCCTAAAATTTCCTTTAAAACTATTCAAGCTCTGCTCTTCACTTTTGTCATTGCAATGGCAACAGATCACAGCTACCTTGTAATCCAATCACTTTCCTTTCACTATCATCTAAATGTTGTAGAAAACAGAGCCAAGGGTCAGTATGAAAGAAATGAGAAGCTAGAATGTAAACTTTGGTACTTACATTAGTAACAAAAAAAATTAAAGAAAACGATTTGCCCACCACATTAAAGATCAAAGTTCATTAACATCTTGTTTCCCTTTAAAATACAGGCACTGGTATTACTTCTTACCTCTGACTAGGCACACTTAGTGACACCTTGTACTGCACCAATCTTAAGAAAATATTCCAAAAGCTATGTTTTCATGAATATTTCAATCTGCATAAATGAAAATATTCATTTGTAACCAAATAAAACATTGACTACACCAAACCTATTTTTGGAAGTATTCCTGCTATTGCTTGTGAATTTCACTTTACTCTTGGATATTTCAATTCATTCCAAATAAAACATGCTTGCTTTCCATTAATGAAAAACAGATCAAATTGTGTTTTATTGCTAGTGCAACATGAGTCTAGCCATCTTCCATTAAAATAAAATATTTCTAAAACATTTCAATGTAGAAACTAAAACACGCTGATTGAAATTAAAGAAAATATCAGATACATTGTATTTTTAAATAATGCTTCAGACAAATTTTAAGATGCTGGAGTATGGAGTTAAATTTGGCCAATAACCAAATTTAACTCCATACTCCAGCATCTTAAAAGTCCTGATCAAATTCTTTACTTCACTCACATGTTATTTACTAGTTTTGTTCTGAGCAACTTATTTATGTTATATAAACTTTAGAACTTTGATAAAGTATTTAAAATATGATTTTAATCACTTCAAGAACATGTCAACAAAAAATAAATCCCTGAGTACCTTTTTTTTGGAAGGGAAGGATTAAGGTTATGACAAAAGAACAAACTATGGGTAGTTTGTTGCATGTTGATTTATCCACTGAATGGTATAGAAAGACTATGTTCATAAGACAAACATACTAATAGCATTATTTACAGTATAAATATGTACTTGTACACTTACTTTGATATCTAGAGCTATATGTATCCAATCATCCATGGTCATGTTGGATGAATCTAGCAAAGGATCATATTCATAGATTGTGTAAATAACACGTTTTGGATCTCCAGTTTCCCTGTAAAATTACATTTATTTTTTTAAATCATGATATCCTATGATTACATATTAAATACCGTAGTAAGAAAAAAATATCAGACATAAGAGCCAGACATTTAATGGATACAGGTTAAGTTCTATTTCAAAAGTTCTATTTCAGTCTTTTAATGTGAAAACAAAAGCATAATAAAGAAATTTGATGTTCAATACTTTACGCATTGATGAGCCTTTTCACAAAACATTTGTGTATAAAATTGTTTTTGTTTCCATTAATTACATCTATTGGGTAATTACTTGCTTTAGGTTATCTATATAAATAAACATCAATGTGATAAAGGATGACACAAAGAAGGTCATGTGTGTGTGTGTGGTGGGGGGGGGGGGTTTGGACCCTACATCTAATTTCATAGAATTCTTGAAAACAGTATGTCTTTCTTTTCAATATTGGTACCTTTAAGTATTTTTATTGCACTTTTAATGTTTATTATGTTAAGAAAAAAAAAGAACAATTTCCTATCCTTTGTTACAAACGAGTTTTTATTTCACCCGTCCAATGGAAGGCTACTCTAGCTAGTATACTATAGTGATCATATACATCAGTCATTACTAACACTTAAAGAATTAACATCTTCAATTCAAAATGTGAAGTTTCATTAAACATGTCAGATAGTTACTGTTTTTCAGCACACTTAACAAGAATCTGAATATTTGAGGACTGTAAGAGCTGTAACAGAAACTAATTAGGGTTTAAAGCCTGATGTAAAACGGCCAAAATTTAGATCATCAGCTGTTCTAAATCCTGTTTATCTTCCCTGCCTATATTGGAAAGTATGAATCAAAGTATTTAGGTTTCTAAATAGATATATTCAAGCTAGCCTTATTAATAACTATAAAATAAAAACAATTAAAACTTGAAAACTAAAATTGTTTGAATAAAAAGGAGCATATAAAATAAAGTGAAATATCTCGATGTAAGAACTATAGCTGAAGCCGAGTTAAGTAAAAAATGACAAACCATTCCCTAAGAAAAGCTAATAGAAATTCATAAAAGCTCTAAGAAAGGATGTATATATTAACAACTATGTTCAGATTATGACTGATAGAGAACAATTGCTCACATATACTATTTGACATCATTACTATGATAGATTTATGAGAAATATCATGATGTCTTAAAAATTACAGTAATTAACTCAGCAGCATACAAAAATTATGGGTCTACATTTTTAAAACATATTCAAATTACTTAGATAAACAAACAATATTATATAATTATGTATACAGAGTTGAAAACATAGTTCAAAAAAGTTTACCCAAAAATGTATTTCAGATAGATACCTCTCCACAGAACTAAGATATAGAATCCCACATTCATAAGATGTTGAAGAGGTCAGTGTATATTAAGAAATTAAAAAGATGAGTTCCTTTCTGAAATCATAGTGTCAAAAAGGGAAAACTCATGAAGTATATCACCTACTAGGGGTAGAAGGACCTAGTGGATTACGTGGGGAAAACCACATCCTTCTTCACTCAATAAAGGTGGGAGAGCAAAAGTTACAGTCAAAAGACCTTCTGCATGGTGCTAAAGTGTTGCATAGATGGGTGAAATGAAAGATTTCTCAACCAGCCATTATATATCTGATAATCAGCTGAACATGAGTGTGCAGTGTGACTATGGCAATAAGTCAGGCTATATAATACAGGTGAAAGACTTAGGTGAAATATATATAAAAACAAGAAGGTACAGATACAGACATCCCAGATCTGCCTCAAGAGGTGAACACATGACCTATCTGGATGGCCTAGCCACAGGGAATGGTTTGGTTCATAGTGTAGTGGAGTTGTTTGTATGCTACACTTCAGGTATCATCTCAGCCCTAACTTTGGTCTAATTGTGTGCATCCACCTAGTCTCACACAAATGGGTATCCCTCAAAGGAAAACTCTCCATACTGACCTCCCAAGTAGCTTGAAACTGTGGAAACAAAAGAATTTACATAGTGTAGAATGCCAGAGAGATGCTCAAATTGAACAGAAATCATTACATTTGCATAAGGTTCACAATTACAGACTATCCAATGAGTTACCATGTACAGGGATAGCAGGTGCTAGCCAAATGTGAGAGCTCGACAGTGAGTACTGAGCAGGGATTTATGCACTGAACACTGTCTGTTATCCCCTACTTGATGCAAATTTTAGGAAAAAGAAGAGATAATGAACAACTCACCTTCTTAGAGCCTCTGTGAAGACTGGAGAATGGCAACTGGAGAGATATACAAATGAACAATAGATGAAACTGCAAGGTGGTGTATGTATAATGACAAAAATGCATCAGGATTTGTCCACATCCTCATTTGCAAGATCTTGTCCAGGAGGCATCGATAACTAGTTAAAAGAAGCTGTAAGATGGCAGACCTGATGCAAGAAGACATGAAAGATTTCATCATCCATAGAAGAATTAACTATCCAGTTTAGCTGTTTAACCCAACTGGTCAAATTAGGAGGATATAAAAAAAGGAAGATGAATCCACTATAAGAAAAGATGTTGACTGCTTTGAAAGGTGGCAATGTGGGTGAGATATCAAGATAATGCACATACAGGACAAAGGAGGCAATCAGGGTCTGAATAATTGTATAGGGAAAAAAGGTAGGGGAGAGTGGTTGGAGAAACTATCCAACCACTCTTGTAGACAGACCAAATTTTGGGAAGGAAGGAAGGAGTGGTCAGGGAATGATATTAACCATTTTCTTTAATCAAGTGAGCAAGATGCCTCCAAGGGAAAAATGTCAGAATGGTATCTCCTGTAAGCAAGGAGAAGAAAAATGTCTTAAGAAAAAAAAAGATGGTATTGGAAAAAGATGGCTAATAGTTTGAAAGGGGGGAGGGGACATAAGAACCCTGACAACTAAGCAGATGTTCCAGAAGAGGAACATAACAAGGAAAAAACTGATGAAAAAATAATGAGATCTGTAAAAACTGGAAAAATAAACAAAAAACGGCCAGATGGAAATTCAAAGACAAAACCCTTATGTAACTGGCAATAGTACAACTGTGAAGAAGTCAAAGAGGAGGATAGGCATACAGAAAGAGACTGGACCAATCCTGACTCAGAGCTTCCACTGCCATAACTTTAAAGTCCATGACTGGAAATCAAAAGAGTGGAATCTTGGTTATGAGGGGAGTCATAAAGGCAGCAAAGAGAAGAATCCCAAAGTACAAGTAACTCCACTGAAAACACGATAGAGACCACACCATGGGACGGTCTAGATGAGACAGTCAACCCAGCACCAGGATTAAAGTCCCTAGACATGATAGGCTGACAACTGAATATGCTGGTCATGGACTCACGAGAGAGTGTCTAGAGCAAGGAGACAAAAGTCCCAAAAGCAAGTTCTTTTGTGGAAGTAAAACAGTGGAGTTGATGAATGGATCATGAACAAGACCAGGTAGATGAGAGAGAAGATGATTACAAGCTTGTTGTACAGTCAACATATTGAGGATGTTGATAGGGGGAGATTGATTATCTAGAAATGATGTAAGTGTTCAGAAACACACCTCATCCAGAAAGAAAAGCACTGATTTAATGCCTTTACTTGTATATTTCATTGGTGTTAAGTACAAAGCCATGTAATGGGTATGGAAAACTGAATATTTTAGTGTTAGAAGCCATCACACTTACTGCTGAGCCTCTGAGGGTAGCCTGACCAGATGTAAGCCACTACAATAGTGAAAGTTGATGGGAAGGGAGAAACATACATGAGAAGACAGTGAATTTTCAGACCAACTTCAATGATTGGCCAGCCTAACCAGCTACCCCAAATGAGATGACTCCTGAATAAGAAAGGAAGTCACAATAGTGAATATCTCAAAGAATGGGGTAAGTAAAGGCCAAATGTCAACAGATTAGTTAAGCTGTAGATCAAAGAATGCATCCTCTGTGCAAAATCTCTCCAAATCTGATAAAAAACTGAATATCCAATCCTTGTGGACAAATCAAAGGAAATGACAGGTATACAGACAAATTAGAATGTGGAGAAAAGCATCTGAGACATCACTCTTGTTCAAGCACATCATAGGAGAGAACACCCATTTCAGAGTGAGAAAACCATTCATCTTGAACTGAGGGATGATTAAATTTGATTTAAGTGTGAATGGTCTATTACTAGTCACCAAGCTTCCACCTTCTTAGGAATGACACAAAAAGGAAGGAGTAAAAACCCAAAGTGAAGTCAAGGGCATTTTCTATAGCATTCGAATTCTGATGAAACAACAGGACAAACCCTTGAGAAAACACCTGTTTAAGTTAGAATCTGTGGAAAGGGAGTCCACAGGCATACAAAGTCAGAGAGTTGAGATCCTACCAAACCATTTCTGAAGGGTGACTCCATAAACAAGTCACTCCTAACACTTACTATAACCAACATCCAGATTGAGGACATTGAATAGTAAAAAGGATGAGAAGTAGGGGAGGTACAACCCCAAAAGGTTCTCAATAAGAAAAAAACCTGGTGGGACTGCTGATCCAACAAATGCAAAAAAACAAACTGAGAAGAGATGACAGCTGATGAGCTGCCCCAGTTAAAGATCTCAAAGTATTAAGAAAACCTAAAAAAATCTTCTCCAAAAGTAAGATATTTTAATGACACAGACCAGGGTTTGAAATAGTGTTGGCAGTACCAGGTTGCTGGTAACGGTACTTGAGCATCTCTGATCATGTGACATGAGTAATTAGAAATTCAATTATTCTTTCCAGTATGTGCTTGTGGGAAATGAAACTTCTTTTTCACCTCAAATAAAACTGTCAATTATTTGTAAGCCCACATAGTATGATGACTATAGCAATGAATCAGTTGAAACCTAGGCTTTCTATTGGTTACAAATTCAATGGGTGTTTGCCTCAGAAAAATCTATTAGCAAATTGTAAATTAGAGCATGTCAGAGGTAGGCATGGAAGGTGGTTTCTGAATTTTCAGTGATTGCTCTATAGTCCCATAAGGTTGAAGTATATAAAAATATAGCTTCAGAATATCAATGATGAAATTATAGAGAATATTTTACATTACATTTCGTAGTTTTCTAGGGGGTGGACAAAAAAGACCAGAAGAGGAGACGGCTCAAGAACAAATATCCCAATTCTCACACTAGGGGAATTTGAGGTTGTTTTTAAATATTTCCTTATATAATTGAGAACTTAAAACTTATATAATATTAAACTTTTATTTATTATCTATGGTTTCATGTCAAGCATTTGTATACCATAATAATTAACTAGCTTAATTAAATTTTGAATGTAACTCACTAAAATGTCGTGACACTCACAGTTTGACCTGCCTGCATGCTAAGGGTTAATCATGCACACCCCTACCTAATGTGCAATCAGTCACATTGGCACATTTACGTTCTCTTCCAGAGCATGTGAGTCACCAGTTTTCCATATTTCATGCCATTGCTGATTTCCATGGTGAAATCTTATCAAATGAAGTATGAACTCAAAACTACCACATCAAACATTTATAATTCTGTGAAAAGCAAAGATGAAATACCAGAGGAGGCGTTCAGTTAAAACTCCAAAGATGGGGCATGTGATAACAGATATTATTCTCAACATATTATATACTATAAACTAGTAATGGTACTGCTGGTACTGGTACTTATTTCAAACCCTAGAATCAAAGAAACCAAGAAAACTGGGACACAATGGAAAAAGAAAGTTGAGTTTAAGATGGAGAACAGGTATGTGTAGGTTTCTCCAATAAAGTTGTAAGAGTTGTGATTTAAAGCCTTTAAAAAAAGGTGAAGCATGGACAGATAGCAAAAAAGTTGAATAAGGATGAAACAGAGGAAAGGAGATGGAGAACATGAGCAATATAAAGAATGAGAAAAAAAAAAGATCATCAAGTTGAAAGAAGAGGTCAAAGTGACTGAGGCTCATGCAACAAGGTGGCCCAAAATGCAGCAAAAATCAGATGTGTAATCAAAGTAAGAAAGAACAAAGGTGAAATTATGTGATCCTCACTGAGAAGAAGGAACCAGCAGCAAAGGTAGATAGTGGAAATAGTCAAATACATCTGAAGCAACAGCAACATAAGCTCATAATTATTAAAATAAAAATATATATGAACAAAGCTAAGGGTGTATAAGACATGCTTAAAGTGACTGGTCATTACAAGATCTGAGTAATAGACCATTGTCAATAGACATGTACCGTAAGAAAAGGTATGTTGACTGTTCTTTGTTAAGTTTACATGACTGATGATGATTTATGGTTGTAAAGCTAGAGGACAAGCAATATTACCCAGCCTAGGAAAGAATATCTCATGGGTGTGTGCCAGCTATAAACCTACTATGCATGAAAGATTGTGATTTGTATATTCCTCAATATACATTAAAAAGCATACCAAATAATTTTAAGATACTTGCTTTGATGTAAACAACATTCTCAATAAACATTTTCAATTAAACTTAGGGTTTTATGCTAAGAATGTTTTAAGTGCAACAAGATATGCAATGAAAACAGGCAGATGTACTTTGAAGTTAAAATGCAAAATTCTGTGGCAATGACTAGCCAAAGAACAAGGAATTACTTACTGGTTCTGACTACATTTTACAAATTTACAATGCAATTAAATTTGTAATATGCTAAAAAAAAGGAAGAGAAAGAAACAATTTGACTGGAAAAACGACAAAACAATTCTCATTATTTAAACAGTCTGGAATTTCATCTTACTTCTAAAGATAAAGATAGTACCAACAATTATCATGTCCAACATGCTAAACATTTTACTAAAGTTGGAGTCATGAAAAGACACATTGACCAAACATAATAAATCTCCCTTTTCTGTGCCTTTTAAACCAAATCACTTCTTTACATCTACAAGCTTTTTACATAAATATTTTGCTTGTTAAATCAAGATTTAACTGGAATAATAAAAAATGAATGTATGTTTAGGTACATATGTACTGTATAGCAAAAAATGTTTGAGATCTTTTTCAAAATATAAATGCCTACACATTCATGCACTAAACATATGGAAGAAAGTGGGATCTAGTTACTATACATTCATGCACTACACTTACAGAAGAAAGTTGGATCTAGTTACTATACATTCATGCACTAACCATATGGAAGAAAGTGGGATCTAGTTACTATACATTCATGCACTACACTTACGGAAGAAAGTGGGATCTAGTTACTATACATTCATGCACTACACTTACTGAAGAAAGTTGGATCTAGTTACTATACATTCATGCACTACACTTACCGAAGAAAGTGGGATCTAGTTACTATACATTCATGCACTACACTTACTGAAGAAAGTTGGATCTAGTTACTATACATTCATGCACTAAACATATGGAAGAAAGTGGGATCTAGTTACTATACATTCATGCACTACACTTACGGAAGAAAGTGGGATCTAGTTACTATACATTCATGCACTACACTTGCGGAAGAAAGTGGGATCTAGTTACTATACATTCATGCACTACACTTACGGAAGAAAGTGGGATCTAGTTACTATACATTCATGCACTACCCTTACGGAAGAAAGTGGGATCTAGTTACTATACATTCATGCACTACACTTACTGAAGAAAGTTGGATCTAGTTACTATACATTCATGCACTAAACATATGGAAGAAAGTGGGATCTAGTTACTATACATTCATGCACTACACTTACGGAAGAACAAGTGGGGTCTTGTTGCTATCCAGAGAGCAGATTTCTTTGGCATAAGTATCATCATAAAGCTGGGGAAATCTTCGCAGATTGTCTTCCATAACATTACACATAGGCGCATAAACTGCAAAAAACAATGTTAACACATTTTTACAAAATCTTACAACTCCCTCATAAAAATTTTAATCCAGCAATAAGTTTTAAGCTAATATATCTTAAATGAACAATAACTTTGGAGCTAAGATATTTTAAATGAGCAATAATTTGCAGCAAAGATCTTTTAAACAAAGAATAATAAAAAAGGTATGTATTATCAGGAATACATTTTCAGTATTACAAAATATAAACTTCTGAAACACACTTGCTTCCGCTCATACTTTAGCTAGAACCTCGCAATGATGAGGTGGAGGGGCCTGTGAGAGTAAGATCCACATTGAAAATGTCTGTGTAGAAAAAATAGGTGTGCAAAATTGAGATATAATAAAGCACACTAGTGGGGGTCCACACTACTTCTGGAACAGTTATGATATTTGTCCAGAGAAAGTGAGATCTCAATGTGGGTGGTAAAGGCCAACCTGCTACAGAGTCAATACTATTCCTTATCACAAGATTCATCCAGCCCCCAACCCACAGATGAGGTTCCAAATATCAATGGAATTATAGGGCTGATGAATGTAAGAACACCCTAGCTCCACTAGAAGAGAAGGAGGGAACTCGTACTGGGGAGTCTTGAGGAATGATGCTCTGGAGACAGGGCAATAGAGGAACCACGTCCCCTATTTTGAAAAGCAAACCAACCCCAATTTGTTCAATCTAAGGGTTAGGAGGGATGGGCAAAGTCCCTTTATGCTTTACTCATGACAGTCCATGAGTGGCAGTCCAGTATTGTATATTATATTTGACATAGAACAATTGTTCCCCATTTGGAAAGCACCAAGGTAGTCTTATGGAACACCCTATCTTAACAGTGCTCGTTGCTACCAGGGATTTAGTTATTAGTCTATTGATAGCTAGTGCAAATTTGTAAAAGCATACCTGACCAGGCAATACTCACCACTCAGCGGGATCAAAATGAAAGAGACAAGAAGGTCCCTGAAAAGGAATGAAGTTAGTCACCTCTGTCCCAATTCAGCTGGGGTGTGTAGAATAGCCATGGGAGAGGGAATCCAAAACCCATCCGAGGAAGAGACTGCTAAATCATGTAAATAGTGCAATATAAAGGTTTTAGATGTAGTCCAAATACCAGCTTGTACAAGTTACTCTTGAGAGCAATGCAACTGAGCTGCCTGGGACATTAATACATGTCAAACTTGAGGAGATTAGACTAAGATGTCTCCACTCATCCAATGATGGACCAGAATAAGCTATCAGAACCAAATGAGGAATCCAACTTGTCCAAGTGACATAGGATAAGTCACGTGATAGCCAAGGATCCCAATGGATAAATAACCAGCAAAGGGAGCCCTAAAATGCTTCAATGAACCCATATAACATCAGAGAGACCAAGAACAGGGCATAAAAGATGATCCACATCCAAAAGAGAAATGGAGGGAAGATGAATATATAAGAAAGCCTTATCTCCTAACCTAGCTGCTGCAGTTTTAGGTAGAAAGAACCTGTCTAGATACCACAGAACATAGTTAGAATGATACAGTGTTCTGTGAACATGAAGCAAAAACACATCTGAACATCAATGCCTGCTAGCCAATAACAGAAGAAAACATGTTTTAAGTGAAAGATGATATAACAAGCATGACCCCAAAGGTCCGAGAGGTGGACAAGATAATATATAGAGAACCACTATGATATCCCAATTAGGAATCTGGAAGGGGCAACATGGGCAGATAACCTGGAATTATTTAAAAAGTAATGACAAAACAGTGGACTCAAAATTTTTTTTCTTCTTTTAGAAAAACAAAAATTAGCTGATAAGGTAGCCTTATACAAGATGACAGACAAAGGTGTCAAACTTTTTTCAAACAACCATGCCAAAAATTGAGACATGTGGCACAGTGGGATGCAAAGGGTCTGAGAGACTACTGGCAAGAAGTAAACCATTGCCTTTGATAAACTTCCAAAGAAGAATGTCGAATTGTACATGTTAATAAGGACACCACTCAAGTTGTCAATTTCTGATGGCATGTTATGGACCGCATAAACACCAGGCATGAAGTTGAAGAACACCAACTGCTAGATGAAAAAAATCCAACCAAGGCTGATGTAAGAGAGATGATTAGGGAGTAAGGGGAAGAGGTTGACATTCCTGAAGATACTGGAGGATTGGAAACCAAGCTGACTTATCCAATATCATGCCACCACAAGAACTCAAGAGGACATGGAGTGAATCAGTGCCAGAACTCTGGAAAGCAGATGAATGGGAAGGAACACATAAAGATGAAGATTCATCTAATCCTGGCTGAGAGCATCTACTCCCAAAGCCAGAAGATGAGGTACTGGAGACCACAAGGACAGGAGCAAAGCATTCCAGTGTGTGGCAAAAGCATTGATCTCTGGTGTCCCTAAACAAGAGCAGGTCCAACACAAAACTTGAGTATGAAGTATCCATTCTGTAAGAAGAGCTGTGTTGGGACAAGAACTGTATGGCCACTAGGTCATTACCACTGGAATATGACAAGCAAGGAGAACATTCTGGTGGTTGTGTGCCTAAAAGAGAAAAATCCACTAGTCAAAAACAAAGAGACCTGAAGGAGTACCCTCTTCCTTTGAAAATTACGAGACTACTGTGTAATTGTTCAAATGAAGCAATACCACTTTCCCTTGCAACAATTATATGCTGGGTAATAGCCTATTGAACTGCTAAAAGTTCTAAGAGACTGATGTGGAGAGAAGCTTCCTCTACTGTCCAAAGTCCCTTGAATATCATATTTTCCATACAAGCACCTCTGAAGAGATGTAACCCTAGCCATGGAGATGGTAAAGTTACACCTACTGTTGTGTTGTCCTTGTCCACTCACCAGCTGAGATCCAGCAAACAGGGATCTGACAATCTCAATGAACAATGCAGCATATCTGTTCAAATATTCCACTGGTCCTGTAACAACCACTGAAGGGCCCTCATATAGGCCAGACCTAAAGAATGGGTGATTCCAAGGATTCCAACATCCCTAAACAAGATAGTACTGTGCATGCTGGTGGAGAAGGAGACAACTTTATTTGAAGAACTGCCCATTCCATGGCCTGAAGATGTAGAAGAGAAGGTTGGGCCCAGCTTAGTCTGGAAGTGAAAAACACCCCTAAATAGATGAGGTACAGTGTGGAATAAGAATATACTTCTTTTTTTTTTATATAAGAAACCCAGCTCTTGCAGCTTCTGTTAACAGAAGTTGAATATGTAGTTCTGCCAAATGTTGGAAGGAATGGAAAGAAGCAGTTGTCCATGTAATGGTGAGTGTGAATGCTGAGGAAGTGAAGATGATGTGAAAAATATCTGACTATCCAGGAAAAAACATGACAGCACCCTCCTGCAAATGATCTGCAAACCTCCTTACACACACAGCAATGTCTGGCAAAAGTAGAAGGACCGGGTAGTCAGGGAAACTAGTTTCTCCCAATAAGAAATGTGCTGGAAAAATAGTCTAAAGTCTCACTAGTCTGCCCTCAACCTCCCACAACTCAGCCTCAGACTGCATGTAAAACTCTATCTCTCTGCGTATAAGGAACTGTATGTCTTCCACGGAAGGTGCCTCCCCCAACGCCAAGAACATTAGAATTGTGAGATGGTAGAGCATGGGTCATCAGGTGAGTCCATTTCTGAGACATGAATGTGAGTATTCTTAGAATTGTGAGGTGGTAGAGCATGGGTCATCAGGTGAGTCCATGTCTGAGACATGAATGTGAGTATTCATATTCGAAAAATTTCTCAAAAAAAATTTTGTTTTGTTGTTTTTGTAAAATCAAGAAAATAAACAATAGCCTCAAGTCCCACAAAAAAGATCTAAAATAATACAAAAGAAAACATTGCAAATGTAGTAATGACACTGAAGAGAAACCCACAGAAAACATGTAAGACCATTTTCGTAATTTTTGTCCTCGAGAAAAGTGAGTATGAAAGAATAATGAGAAGATTTCATACAGATCTGGTAAAGAAGGAACATTGATGTAGGTGGAAAGAGTCACAAGATTGAACTTATTATGATCGATATAATGGGGGTATAAAGACTGGAGCAACAGAGCTAAAATTTATACTTATGTTTACAGAAACATTTATCGGGGTAAAGCTAAAATGTGAGAGAGGTGTGTTTCAGAAGAAACTTCTTTTTTTTCTTTTAATTCTCTAATTACATTTGTTTTTATATATTGTTCACTACTGGTGGGGTCCACATATTTTATCATATTGAGTCACTTTATGTTTTTGATTGTTATAATGCCTGTATTAAAGGACTGACCATGAACACATTATGAAAAATTAGAAATTTTATATAGAAACAGTTTGTAGGGTACTCCAATAATTTTTAACAGTCAGTCTATGAGTCAATGAGACCAAATCAGGGTAATAGTGGGCTAAAGTGGGGGCTTTATGGTTTCTAGTATCAAAGTTAGAACCAAACAAAGAAAAAGTACCCCAATAAAAGCCATGATCTGTTAATGTGGAAAAAACATATTTTACTGCCGAAAGGTCTCACATTTAAATAGTGCTCAGCTACTAAAATGCACAGTTTAGGGGGTTGGCCAGACTGTGTTCCTCTTGCACAAAATAGCAGAAGTTTTGATGTTAGCATACCATGATGGGTCAAATAAAAAAGCTCTTGTGAATATTAGATCCTAATTGATCTAAAACCATTAACTGGTCTATATTCCCTCAGGTGTTGCAACAGTCATGTTGCACTGGTGATGCTGCTACATATACTGCCATTTCTTCAGTTTGCTACTACTACTGCTAGCTCATCCTTCACACACATATGCATCAGACTTGTTCCTACAACTGACTTAGTATTTTCTGAGTAGACATTATTACAACAAAGAAAGTGATGATTGGATATGCTGCAGTACCTTTTGAACACATTGGTGGTGTATGCATTGTTTGGTTTGGTTATATTTATAGCATAGTCACATTAGGCTATTTGCTGTGTCCACCACAGAGATTCGAACCACGGATTCTAGCAT